CTTATTAGATTCCTTTATTGTTGTTTACTTATGTGTAATGGAATCAGAACTTTCCCAGAAAGTGTGAGAAAATCTAGAGAAAGTGCAGTAGAATAAAATGCTTCTGAATTGTTCATATTGAAAACTGAATCAATTGTTTGATTTACACAGCAATACATATGTTTATAGTTGGATAACTGTTAGCTGCATATGGCAACTAACTGAATCTCTTAGCTGTTACAACAGTTTGAGAGTGTTGTATCAGTAGAACAGTTTAACAGAACTGTCTAACAGTAAGAATTAGTTCAGACCAGTTCAATGCTGAGCGAGCAAAGGCTGGGAGTCTGTATGTATGTGGGTGTCCCGGAACTGGGAAATCATTGTCTATGGAGAGGGTGAAAGAGCTTTTGATGAACTGGGCTACAGAGGTATACTCGACTTGTTGGTTTTATGCTCTTTCTACTGTCTTTGACGCCGTAGTCTGGTTTCTGATGGTGTGTCTATGAGGGTCTGGAAACAATTCATTGTGATTGTGTGTGGTTGTATATATTTGAACATGACTTTGCAGTCAAGTTATGTGTTCTTTCCGCCTTAATTATATTATGTTTTTTCAGATATGAAATGCCAATAGAAATTTATGGGAGGGTTTAGTATAATGATTTATACAATTTGTAGTGGTATCATTTGATTACATGGTCATTAAAATTTCTGGGATATTTTACATTTATGGATTGATGATCATGCAGATGTTGCATACATGTTGAAAGTTATTCCCTACTGGAAATTCTTCTTTTTTTGTTTAAAAAGAAGTTTTTAACTAGCCCTTGATTGTTATTTGTTATGTATAATGAGGGTGAACCTTGGAGTAGCAGTAAGATTGCTCCTTATGACCGGAAGGTCACAGGTTTGAGTCAGGAAAATAATCTTTTTGCAATGGTAAGGCTATGTGCAATTGACCCTCATTTCTATCCTCACAAGTCAGGGAGCCTTGTGCATTGGGGTTTGCCCTTGATTGTTATGTCTAATATACCTTTTGATATATCTGCTCTTAAAGTCCATTGACAAATCATAGAGAACAAAACCATGTGTTGTGCTTTCCCATTGTATGTGATTGATGGTCGCATATAATTTGCTGAAGAAACACATTATTATAGATCTTTTTCCTTCCACTAATACAACCTCATTTGCAGGCTGGTTTCTCGCTGCCAGATATTTTATCTGTAAATTGTACATCCCTTGCCAATACATCTGATATTTTCACTAAGGTAGGAATGTGAAAACACATTTTATTAACACTACTAAGTTGTCTGACCACCTGGTTGTTCTAGCAGATACTTGGGTTAAACCAAGGACGGGGAAAAAAGGTTTCAGCCACACCCTTACAACAACTTCAGAACATATATTCTCAGAAATCATCTATCAAGAACATGATGTAAGAAACATATCCTTGCCCTGAACTTTGACACACGCTGGATTTACTTTTTAAAAATAATAATAAAATTAAGTCTAGTCTGACAGGCATATATGATTTTCTACTGCTGCTTGTTTCTGTAATTTGGATGTTATTGAAGACTGTGTCTCTGTTGTAACAGATTGATAGTAGCTGATGAATTAGATTACCTAATAACCAAAGACAGAGCTGTGCTCCATGATCTTTTCATGCTTACTACCTTCCCATTTTCCAGATGTATATTAGTAGGTAAATTTTCATAAAAATAAAATTGTTGTTTCTGACTTTGTTATTTTTCTTAAGTTCTTAACTAGTAATACAGTTTAGGACTTTAGGTATGTACCAAAAAAAAAAAAAAAAAAGTAATACAGTTTAGGCATTTCAGGACTTATTGTGCTTATTTATACAGGTGTAGCAAATGCAATTGACCTAGCTGATCGATTTCTTCCGAGGCTTACATCATTAAATTGTGAGTAAATAATTCAATATGTTTATGTAAAGAATTTCCATTTCATTCTCTTGGATATCGTGTCTCAAATGACCTCGGTTAATGAAGCTAGCCTTTCTACTTGGGTACATTGGATGTTATTATTATTTTATTTTATTTTGTCTTTTTTTCTTTTTTAATTTCTTCCCTTTGTTCTGTTCCAGGCAAGCCTATTGTTGTAACTTTTAGGGCATACTCTAAAGATCAGATCCTTAGGATTCTCGAAGAAAGGCTAAATGTAAGATTTTTGTTATTGAACTTGTTTCAGTTATTGGGTTGTGCCACTTTCACCTTGAATCATGTCTATTGGAAGAAAATTATCAGTGTGATGCTTTGTTAAAAAGTTTGCTTCTTTATGACTCGGGTGAAGGAAAAAAATAAAATTGAACCAAGAGTTACATTTCTCCTGGTTGAATATTATTTATTAATAGCTCTTTGTCTCACCATCAGGAACTTCCTTACACTGTCTTCCGACATCAAGCACTGGAACTATGTGCTAGGGTAGGTCCACTTGTGATTTGTCACATCTTTTATAGTCTTTGCCAAGGAAAGTTGCTGCAGCTTCTTTGGCTTTTGAGATTACCAAATTTTACCTCTGCGGAAAGAGAGATTGCTACAACAGGCTCTAAAGTAATACTCTGTATATGTATTCAAATATACTGGTCAGAAAAATCATTTTATCATTGTTATTATTATTAACTTAAATTCCAAAGTTTATTGGTTTAATAAATAAACTAATGATAAGAGGAGCATAAGAAAAAGATATTATAGTCATGAAATCAATATATATATATATATGTAGAGCAATGCATCCAAATTTTGTTTACTATATTTGAAATGCACTCTATCGATATTGATTGAAATATTTTCAAGCTTAAACAACTTCACTTCTTATGTTCAATGTTCCTGATGCCAAAAAAGGCCTTGGATCATTCCCTTCCCTTTGAAGTTCTGAAGGGCAGGTGTGGTCTTGGATTTTGGTATTCATGTCTGCTTATTTGTCTCAAGTTATCATACAAAAAAAATGAAATAGAACTTCATTACATGCAGAACTCATCCTTAGTTTTGGTTGAGCTTAAACTATAACAATATTTGAACTTGAACTTGGAACATATTAGGCATCTTCCAGGAGAAGATATGATTACTGACTCAAGATTTGCTCTGGCAATTAAGCCAGAGTAAAATCCAGAAGAAAATCATTTTACTTTTTTAATAGTTTATTTTCTTTCCAGGAGTGCAATAGAGATGCTAGAAGCAGAAATTAGAGAATCTGCCTGCAATTTGAATACTTCATTGGAAGAGAAGTCATCCTCCCAGCAAAGTCTTGCTACAGCTCCTGATTTTATGAAAAAACAAGAATTTGATATTGTAAGTGCTCAACAATTTGTTTCAAATTTGCTGTGCTTCCCCACGAATGGATTAAAAATAGTGTTACGCTAAAGCCAAGTTGAGAACAGTTTAAGAAAGGATTACGTAAAATGAGTACAAATTTGCATTTATCATGCATCTCTTTTGATTCATTGTTAATGGGATTGAATACACTTCTTCAAGATTTATGTTCTAGGTTTCAAATTCATCTGGCTACTTTAGAAGACATTTTAATGTAATTTACAATTTATTGTAGTAGAATTAGGTGCATCAGTTTTAGTCTGATTGACTTATTAGTCGTACAAAATATAGGCAACTTAGTTCCATAATAGCATCCTGTATAGTTAATTTTGTAGGTGTATTGAACTGTTTTCTTTCATCACAGTCTGCATTATTATTGAGTTGGAAACATCTTAGTACCAGCACACAACAAATGTAAATTTACTAAACAAATATAGTTCCTCTGTCATCACTCTTTCTCCTTTTATTGCTAAAGGCCTAAGTCCCTCATATGAAATTGTAGGTAAGGGTTGATCATATGGCTCTTGCCTTGTCAAAGACATATAGATCACCGGTGGTGGATACAATACAATCTCTGCCACATCATCAACAGGTAACCTCGAACTATGAATATGCTATATGAACTTGTGTGAGCTAAGCGGCTCATTACTGGAAGTAACACAATCTGTCATCTATGCCAGATACTATCCTAGTCATGAAGATATGTAAGGCAGTTAGATGTTAGAGATGTATGAGGGAGATAAGTGTATATAAGGGACGTAATCCCTATTATAGTCACTTACGGAGAATTAGTTTTTGACTAAGATATTTTTTAGTGTGAAGGGAGAATTCCATTGTGAAGAGCATAGCTCTTGTATTCTTTATCTGTAATCAATAAAGGTACTCCTTTCTTCCTATTATCTTCATCTCTCCATCAATCCTAAACCCAGAGCCGTAATAGTAAGCTTGAAAAGAAGATGGAAAGAGAGATCTATATTGATTAACCATGTGAACTGTGATCTCATTGGTAGGTGAAGAAACTTTTGCGACAACTTCATATGATATTAAGGGTAGCTAGTTATTAATAACTTGTTTAATAGAATACTCAAACTAGACATGTAACCAACTTTTTTGCTTGGTTAACAGAATACTGAAACTAACCAAACCCAGTCTAGTAGCAACTTTTTTACTAGGTACTGGCTGTTGTTTATAACTTTTTTTCTGGATTTGTACTTTTTGCAGATTATACTTTGCTCTTTGGTGAAGCAATTCCGTGGAGCCAAGAAAGATGCAATCCTTGGGGAGGTATACTTTACAGCTCTTTATATGGATATAAGGGTTTGACCCATTCTAACCTATATATTGATTTCTAACACTGTAATCATGATGCAGTTGTATAAGTCTTACATGGAGATATGCAAATCATCACTCGTTCCCCCGGCAGGAATCCTAGAATTTTCAAACATGTGCAGAGTGCTGAGTGGTCAGGTATCTGAGACAATACTCGATTTATGAATTTCTAGAAGTGGCTTTCTCTGTCAGTGGATGAATTTTCATATTAAGGAGTGCTTTATCAACGAGTGTAAATGATGAAATATATATATTATAACTGCAGGGGCTGATTAAACTAGGACAATCCCGAGAGGATAAATTGAAAAGAGTGACACCCAAAGTAGATGATGGTGATATTACTTTTGCATTGCAGGTAGTCTCTTTTAGTCCTTTAAAACCTCGTATCTTCATATTTTTATTATCTCTTAATTTACTTTGTTTGGATTGGTATCTCATCTGAAAATAATTTCTTTGCCATAATTAAATTCCATGACACAGGGAATCCGTTTTTTTCGAAACTGTCTTAAATGTTTCTGCTGATAGGCTGGTGGTTTTCATTCAGCTTTATGTGAGACTGTAGATTCTTCCATAGATTAAGGTTGGAAGCTTTTGCTTGTACTTGCCCTTCACTGCACCTTTTTTGCCAAAATTCTAATACTTGGTTTCTTGGTACATATGCAGGTTAGTTCATTTGGGTCAGACTGTTGTCTTCATTATATGAAGTGGATATACTCGATGAAACATACAGTGGCAGAATTTTCAGCTACGAAGCAGCTGTTAGAGGAATTTTTTTTTTTTTTCAAGAACGAATAATAGCAATAGAAGAAAGCATTAATTGCAAATAATATAATACTATAATTATAGAAATTCTTAAAAACTTCATCAATTTGGGATAAAGAGCGATTTGTAATTGTTTTTTAGGATTTTGACTCAATTAAATCATTATATTTATTTGTAATATAATCATTCAAAATGTTTTCATATTTATTGGTTCATCAACTAAGTCATTTATAATTAATTTTAGGATTTTGAATTAATTTGTAATTGATCTATACCCTGGATTTTTATTAGAAGAGTTGAATTTTTTTATTTTTTTTTTGGTACAAAGAGTTGAATTTTGTTATTAAAAATTAAGAACAGGAGTTACTTTTCTACTAAGGATAACTTTCTGATTAATCACTTTTTTCATGCACTTTCGGCGTTATGTTTGAACAAACTTATTTTAAGTATAAGATAATTAAATTTCATTAATTTTCATTAGAAAATAAATATTTTTTATCAATTTTTTTAAATAAATTGTCATGTTTTAATCAATTTTAATGTTTTCTCTGTAAATTCCGTTATACTCCTTTTTTTTCATGTTTATTAACCTTATGTCACATTTTTATTAACCGAAATACTCTTTTATTAATCTTTATACAAATTAGTGTCCCACTCAAATAAACAGACTTATAACTTCTTAGCAATGGTAAAGGAGTTACTCAAATTTATCCCAACCATCGATTTTAAATTTTGAAAAGATGAAATGGAGATTTTGAATGAAAGATAGTTTAATGAAAATGAAAATATTAATAATATTTTAACTAAGAAAAAGTATTTTGAATCCTTTAAGGAAGATCAAATCCGAAATTGGTTTTTTTAAAATTTCGGTATCATCATATTAGTTTTTTAAGAATATTTTTGACTAAATAAGTTCTTTATAAATATACAACGTTATCATATTCGTTTTTTATAGAAAATTAACGTATGACACAAAAGAATGTATTGGTTAAATATTTGTATCTCTGAAGGGTTAATTTCGTGAGAAACCTTTGAAAGATTAGTGTAGTAACACACCAACTTTTTGAGAAGCAATTTAAAGATTTAATCCTTAAGTAATATGACAATTAGTCTTAACTAAATGTATATTTTGAAAATAAAGGGAATCATATTGTAATCTAAACATGTTTCATGGATATGGAGGGTAATTTGCTCTTAATTAACTTGTAATTAGTTAATTCTTTATGAATTCATATCAATTTAAGTGAAGATCCTTGCTATTTAATTTAATTGTATCTTTACGAATGAGAAAGGGGTGATGAGACCCACTACTAATGTCACGACCCGAATCTAAGTCATGACATGCGCACAAGCTAAGGTAATCCAAACATCCTTAGCCTGACAAATCTATCCTCCACAAAGAACCCATACAACTAAAGAAAATTACACAAATTTTAACAGAGTCTCCTTTGTATTTCTAACATCTCAAAACAAATTCAACACTCGATATGCAAAGTATATAGCACCGACCAACAACATCAACAACACAATATATGATTCAGAAATTAGAAACTTAAAACAATATAAAAGATCTCACTAACAGACTTTCCATAGCTGCAGAATGCTGAGAACTCTAAAATAAATCAAAGACTATCTATTCAAGGGCTGACCATCCAAATAAAGCTACAAAATGAGCTGTGACTCCTAGCAACTTACTATCAAGCTGCCTGACAATGTGGATGGAAAAATAAAGGGGGGAGAGTCACACAGACTCAGCAAAGGCAGAACAGGAAACAAAATAACAAAATACACACGAGTGATTTTCTTTTTTTATGCATATGAATTATAAACATGCTAGAACAATTGAAATAAATAATAAGAATAAAATCAATAAAACATGTGTTTACAAAAAAAGAAATCCAAAAATTCACAAAGTAATGTAAATGTCATTTACAAAACAAGGAAATAAAATAAATAAGAATCATAATTTGATAACGTAGGGATCACTCATGAGAGAATCAAGTCTAAGGTGGCTTCACCTCATTGATAGTCATCTCCTCCTAAGGGCGACCCTTCCCCTAAGGGTGACTCCATTTAATGGGCAACCCTCTCATTTCTCAATTCAAGTCAAATCATAATATCTTATTGGGGGCGACTCCATCTGTAACACCCCGTATATATCCGGTAATGTTATCACAACATCGTATTAAGCTGCGCTTAATTAAAATGCGTAATTACTTTTTCTTTTCAATTATGATGCCATTAACATTACCAACTTGCTTAATAATCAATTAATAAAACATCGCCTGTATGTAATTGCAATAAAACAGCTAACTGAAATACCTCATAACATAGATAATATGATCGTGGCTCTAGTCACGGAACTACAACAACGTAGACCGGATCATCTAACAGTTTATACAACTCCAAACTAAAAGTACTAACAGAAAGTGTCATGGACAATCCCCATGCTCACTCAAATAAGGCAACATGCCCAACATCAGTCTCAATTACATCATATCATAAATAGCGGAAAACATAAACAGCATCCAAATCCAGTCATACTAACAAATAAGCAGAAACAACAAAATCAGCTAAGCTCCGGCCTCCCGCCGCCTGAGGCATCAGTACCCATATTACCTGATCCTGAAATAAGCATTCCCCAAACGTGGGGTAAGATCTCTAATCTAGAAATCTCAGTAAGTCAGTGAGTCCTCAAGGATCTTCCACCCCAAGCTCACTTACATGTGCAATATAAGTTCAAAAGCAGTTTATCATTTATCATTTCAAAACAATGTAATGCAGCAGATAATCATGCCATGTGTGTCAATACTAATCTACTGGCCAGAGACAGTGCAGGTATACGTCTATCACCTACACACCGTGCAAGTACCACTTGCATTCACCCCGGTACACCGTCTTGTATGGCGCTACATACTCAGGCTTCCCGTCAAGATGAAACAACACATGCATATTAAAAGCCATTACATGTAAAGTTCAATCAACATATCAAATATCCAAAAGCATGTACACAGCATGCATAAACCATATCCCCATGGGACATGGTGGAACCACAACATGGCTAAAACGAGGACACGAAAGCTTACCTTGCAAGCTAACTCCAAAAGCCAAGAGTCCACAGCTCAAAGTCCAAACACAGCAGATTCACAATCTGTTATGGACCAATACTATATCAATAATAATGCAACACAAGCATATAACTTAAAGACAACGCCTCTCCTTACGTTTTACGTCTTAAGGCTCCATACCAAGCCATAAGTCCTTAATCACTTGATTCTGACTTAATTTAATTAAAACAGAAGTTCAACATCATCAATCTAGGGTCCACAAACCCCCAATAGCCTACTGTCCTCACAGCACAGCTACTGTTCTTCGAAATCCCAGAATATCCGGATATTCCTCGGGACCATATCGGGATATGCAATATCCGGATATCTAACTGGACATATCCGGATATATAATATCCGGATATCCAGAATCCCATATCCGGATATCTATTATCCGGATATCTCATATCCGGATACTCAAAACCCATATCCGGATATCACATATCCGGATATTGTTCGGGCAGATATCCGGATATTTCACGACAGAATGCAGAAACTGCATTTCGTGAAGATATCCTTCCAAGGTTGGGTTTTTACCGATTTTAAACACCTAAACATGCATTTCTAGGTGTGTTCAACATTACCCAACAACAAGTTATCATCTTTTAGTCATTAGATGCATCAAGGTACCATTTTTAAGCCTTAGAACTCAAGTTAAAGGTTGGTACAACATACCAAGGCTCAAAACTCAGAAGTAAAGGCTCTTGGAGCTCCACACTCTGCCTCTCCAAGTCTGACTTGAAGGGTACACGAAAATGCTACCAAAGCTTGGCCCTTTCCACACAAAGGAAGCTCCTTGGAGCTTCACAAGCCAAGAGCAAGACTCTCACCACCTCAACTCAAGAGGACAGCCCCTCCAACACTCACAAACAGCAACCCCAACACAGAACAGGGTCAACAACACAGCCCCAAAGCTACTCTCACCCCACACCAAGTGTTTAGGAGAAGGATTTGTGAAGGAAGTTGCCTCAAAGCTCAAGAAATGAAAGAGGAACACAATGGAACAGTACTCAGCAGTTGGCCAGCCCCAAGACTCACGTAGAGAATGTGTTATGGCCTAGGGTTTTGTGCTAACAAGCCTATATATAGCCACTTAACATTTAAACACACAGTATTAACTTTAATTGCTACACTTAGCATTTTAATCCCAAACTTTGGATTCTGAAACTACACATTTTTCCAAGAATTTACATATTTTTCTTATAATTTTCTGAGCACCTTTCCGGACGCGCTTTTCCAAGCCAGTACCGGTTTCTAGCACCAGTTCTCATTATTTGGACTTGAAACTCGCTTTACAAGTCCTACATATTATTCTAGTAATTATCATGCACTTACATTAATTTTCCGGGATACTTTTTCGGTACGCATTTATATCGACTAGCAGAACCGGTATCTGCACTTTTCTTCCGAAAAGCGACTTTCAGCATTATTACTCACTCACCATAATTATTAAAGCCTCATAAATAATTATTAGGGTCAATTATGGAATCATTTCCTATTTTCTCGTAATTTATTAATTAAATTCCTTAATTAACGGTGCGGGTTCTTACACCATCTCGCTGATAACCCTCTCCTCCAAAGGATAATCTTTCCCTTAAGACGACTTTATCTAACGGATAGCCCTCTCCTCCCAGAATAAAATATCCATATATCAAACTACGTGCACCTAGATTATTACCCTCGTTAACGATTATGGGATTCTAACATGGACCCCAAAAATATATATAAAAAAAATTAGTAAATCAACTTTTGGTTGAACCAATCTAATTCAAACCTGAGTAAAACTATCGAATCTTATTTATTTAAATAAAATATCTCATATTCAATTTTCTCTCTAACATTTTAAAATAATTATCAATATCACAAACCATAAACATGATATTATTATGCAAAAATATCCATAAAATGTAAATTTCAAATATGAGAACTTAACCAATTATAATATAAAATAGTTGTTCCCTATGCACATATTAAACAACATTTATACAACTAAATTAAAAAATTAAAA